GATCTAGGATAATTTTCATCCCGGAATAACGTTAGGTTCCTGTGGGATTCCCAAAGAAATAAAGCTGACGATGTCGCGGGTGGACATTACTTAGCTATAATTTATTTATTTTCTGTTGTAATTTCTGGAATCTCTTGTCGACTTGATTCTGTTATGAAATAATGAAGCAGGGTTTCCTTTTAATTTATTCCCAGAAGTTAACTCAAATTTGTTAATTCATCATCATTTCAATTTTTCTTTCATTTTGATTTTAATATAGTTATAGTGCTTTGTGATATATGTTAAGTGCTTAAAATTATTGTGTTCAGTACCGGCCTATTCGAATCAAAATATATGCAATTAACATAGCAATCAAATATATATTTTCAGTGCTAGCGTGTCCAATAACATGGCCGCGGCTGTACCAAGCGTTGCTTATATGAACATTATCCGTGGGACAGATCTCGTACGCGTTCTAACGAGCATTCTATAACATGCGTCTGTTTACGACACGGTTTAGCGTTCCATCGCTCAATGGATGTAATGTTCGCATGGCTCGTGAATAAACCGGTACATACCTACACAGTTCACGTCCACAGAGTTTCCTACTCTTGTATAGGGTGCGTCTCATCTTTATTCCCGACAGGCCGTGTCGGTCGCAAGGAGTGCCGCTAATTTGCAATTCCCCTTCCGAGGAAACACGTTAATATCCTTCCAGAGCCTGTGATTTCCCCGATATCATTATTTGTCTTGATGGCCTTCGATTTGGTGTTCAGTTCAGTTCAGCAAACCCTTTTTGTTGTTAGTTTACCGTATAAGTAGATGTATACTTTCTTTCTAATGATAAACCAGCTTAATCCAGGGTTGCATATAGGATGTAGTACCGGAGATTATAGCTCCTTAGTTTCTATTATTAGTTGACTACTAATTAACAAAACACCACGCCCGTAAGTTCCATAAATATGCTACTTAATTTGAAAAGTGGATGTTTGTAATCATCATCAGTTCATTAATGTTCCCACTGCACGAAAACATGCCTTCGCTATGTAAGAATACCTAATGGGCCATGACATGACCATGTCACCGACCACCACATGGAGATGCAGCAGGGTCCAACGGCTTTTCGAGCCATCCGAAGAATGAAGAAACTCTAGATAATAAATTATTGCCACGCATCCCATGACTAGCTTTTGCGAAAATATATTAACATTCTACCTTTTGCTCTAAAAGCCTTGATTGAGTCTTTATCCCAAGCATGGTGTTTTTTGGTCTTATGAGCAAGAATATAAAGGACAATGTTAAAATTGGCCTAAGAACCAACACCAATTTGGCATTTATGATAATTCTTAGTATATTTTTTGCGATAATTATCGGTATTTAGATTGTGACGGACACTTCCAGTTAAGTAAGCTAAATTAAAAAGTTAAAAAATAATCTGAGACAATAAATACCATTTTATGTGTATATAATCTATGGCAGCGCTGCAAACAAAACACTTTTTCTTCCTAATGTCGGCACTTCACTTGGTTATTCGTATTTGCTATTTTAAAACATGACATCAGTCTGTCCTTTTCATTCCTTACTAAGCATGACAAGGACAAACTGTTGTCAAGAGAAGGGCCGGCATAAAATTCTTTACTCTGTGGTTGTGGTGCATGCAGTTTTCATTTGTAGTAATCTGTGGCATTTGTGCATTCCAAAGAGTAGTATATAATATACGGGAAAGTGCATTCTCGTTTCGGATTACCTGTTGTGTGTATTTATTTGCGAATGTTTTTCCTTTAATTTAACTATATCGGCTATCTAATATGCCATCGATATTACCAAAGAGCAGAGCCCTTATTACCAAGTGCTAGTGAACCTGTGCCACATCCTGAGAGGATCTAATCAATAATAATAGCTAAATTATTCAAGAACACCTGATACACATTCACGCTGCATATTTACACAATATAATGTGATATACAAATAAATACAATAAACAATATGATACAATTAAGTGAAAAATAGTCATTAAATAAGAATCGAAACAACAGTTTTTATTTTATTCATGATTCCTACCTGACCAAGTTTTTCCTAATAGTTATTCTTTAAAATAGCACCGAATAAAATGAATTAGTTGTAATATTAATTCACTTCATACTGAGTTCATACTAAATTCATAGGTTGACCTATGTTTCATTGAATATTAAACATAACCTCAAAAAAATTTTAGTTTTCCTAATAATTTAAGTTCTCAGAAGTGTCCGTCAATAATCTTTGTTTTTACAGTCATTTACTTACGACTTTGAACCTAGAAAATAATATTTCATGATTGTTGGTTCTTAGGCTAACTATGTATGGACGCTGAGCAATGTCCTTTGAGAATCATATTTATTTAAGTCAAAAGGTTGGCAAACAATCGTATGACCCGCCTGATTAATATCATAATATGATTGCATAGAGCTTCCATAATACAAGCTTTGGCTTAATTTTGGGATTAAAATAACATTGTTTTGAATATTATAAAGCTTTAGAGTTTGTTTGTTTGATTGTTTGGTTGAACGCGTTAATCTCAGGAACTACTGATTCAAATTGTTTTTTTTTTGTGATTGATTGCCCATTTATCGAGGAAGGCTATATAGGCTATTTAAAATATCATGATAAGACTAATAAGTTCAATAAATAATGTGTCGAAAACGGGAAAAAAATATTTCTTTTCAGAGCTTTCGTTTCGTACGCTGCGTAAACGGTTAAAGTTACACAAAAATCATGTATGAAGAAATTGTTCTCCTTTAATCTTTAAAAAAAACTCCACGACTACGTTTCTCTATCTTTTAAGGTTGTCACACTATAACCATTTTTATGGTACCTAATCTTTGATCTGAAATAATGCATTATTTGCGAAGATATTTTTAAAAACATGATATCAATCTTTGACAAAATAAAGATGTTATTCGTCACAATACTTAATTTTTAACAAAATTGCCCCTGACATTATTAGATTTCAATGAAAATTTTAGGAGATATAATAGTTTTAAATTAACTCCGTAACAAAATAAGGATAAAGTACAACATGCGCTTTATTTTAAGATCATGAGGGGGAAGTTAGGTGCGCCAGCCCAAAAAAAATAGGATTGGAATTTATTCCCATTGGAAATGGACCTCAGGTAGGTATTTGTTACTTTTTACATTGGCAAAAAAGTATGAAGCTCTTTTGCGTGTAAATAACCCCAGCAATGTACCTATATTTAATATTCCAGAATATTTCACACCTAATATCGTTTACAAAGAGAAGAGCCTAAAGAAAGCAGAGTTCTTCACTTCACCATAAGATTAACGACAAATTGTTATATTCCAACATCAACGCGAACAAAGTCGCGAGCGCGGCTAGTTAATTCATATTATTGCCGCTATGATCCCAAAAACACCTGTTACAGGGGTTAAAAAAATTAAGGTAATTCAAAGACATTCAGAATGATATAAAATAGTCTTCGTATTTACATTAAAACTGAGCTACATAAGTTGAAAAATATTATATTTCAGTCGAGTACTTTATTTTTAATAACCTACGCTACACGACTTTATTCAACACCGTAGTGAATAATACGACTTAAAAGGTATTAATAACATATTTTGTCTACCGGAACAAAGTAAATACATTTGTGCTAATAGCGCGCGATCACTTTTATATTATCGCTGTTGGCAGTATTGCGCACGATACATCTTAGACTGAGCTCACTAACCACTATACAACAAATCAAGTAGCTTAGTAGGTATTTTGAAATAAATACTTGCGATATTTATTTTTGTAAATTTTAGTTGAAATTGTATCAATAAATATTTATTCTAATATTAAATTCAAATAAAAACATGTTTTTGAACTCAATGAAACGAAAAAGTGTAAGGACTCATATTTAAAAGAACCCAACCCCTACTTATTTTATTCTCATAAATCAAATCGTGCTTTTTGATTAAGACGGTATTTGATCATGACGGCACTATTAGGTAATCAAAACACACGGTCCTTTTGTGTGCCGTCATTTGCAACATACGCAACATTTTACAATTATGTTAGTAATAAGGTGTATTATAAAACTAAAATAGGTTTTGTAACTTATTTAAGCGAGCACGTGTTGGGAAAGTATATTTCCTGCACACGGGTCTGGACGGAAATTGAGGTCGACCGAAATCGCCGTTAACCCTTCCCATCTCTCTAAATGGTGACCACTATGTTCATTTTTATAAATAAAACAAACCATACCAAATGATATCAATTTTAAATTTGTTGACGAGTGCAGCTCATTTCGAAATCAGTAATACCACAATATTCAGCCACTCACACGTTGCCGTTCACGAATTTACGTTTCCTTAATTTAATGTCGTAAAATGCGTGAATTTGAGGTTTAGATACGTTTAAATACAGGTAGCTAAAATTACAAACCGGGGGATCATTAGCGACTTATACGGTTACGAGTTAATGTATTACAAAATATACAAGTCGATATATTTGTCAAATTTTTAGTAATTCTTGTCATTAAATCGCGGCTGTGTAAGATTTGCGTTACAATTATTGTAGTAGTGTTTTCGTTGTTAGTTACAAAATCGCTCTCCCCGAAAGCTTGATAAGATGAGTTCGTATACAAAATTAATAAAGAACGAATAAATTTATCCTCTGTAATCCCTGCTTTTAAGTTCAAAGAAAAAAATATATAATAGATCGCCCCATAACAAACCGTCGACTTACATATTGCAGCGACATATGTCGACTTGGTGAAATAGGGCCCTGGCCTCACTGTCTTTGTCCGGAATGTTAATAAAATGCGGTTTCGTAGTTGTCCACGTCTGGCCAGGCGAGTCGTCTCTTGCAGAAGACCATAGTGCTTTTCTCTGGCGGAAGAGGATGGCGAGGCACGCGGAGAGACCCTCCGTGGCGGGAAGGTGCGACCGGTGCCAAGCTGACGCGCCCACAGTAGGCATCACGCGTTGAAATAGGGCCCTGATCTCTCTGTCTTTGTCAGGAATGTTACAAAAATGCTTACCCCGAATTCACGGAGTTGTCCACTTCTGGCCAGGAAAGTCGTCTCTTGCAGAAGGCCATGGTGGGTTTCTCTGGCGGAGGGGGATGGCGAGGCACACGGAGGGACCCTCCGCGACGGGGAGGTGCGGCCGGTGCCAAGCAGTCCAGGGTGCGTCGACGTGCACTCAACGCTGTTGCACCCTCAGTAGGCACCACGCGTGGAAATCCTAAATAAGTAATTAATATAAAAAGGGAGATATTTCAATGATCATCAAAAACAAAATGGACCTCTAGTTAAACTTGATAAGAATATAAATTTTAACAGAACATTCATTTCTTCCTGATACAACGACAGATAAAAAAATTGAAGATGGAACTTTAAAATAAACAGATTTGAAACGTATCATACAAATTTTATTATGTTTTATCGTCTATAATTTTCTTGACATAGCGCTTGACATAGCGTTTACAATAGTACGGAATGTCCGCTAATTCGATAAGTTTTACTATTGGTAAGGGAAAGTACAATCTATCCAGCCGAGCATGCCGCATGGAGTCCCAGTTCTCGCGGCATAGATATATATCGAATGATCTGGCTTTTATCGAAGGAAAACCTTTTTGCCCTATTCTCACCATGTCGCAATAGATATTTATCTACGGATGATCAGTAGACATACATCGACTGGTAAAGAGCCTTCGATATATAAATATCTATGGATGTTGGCATGTCAATCTTGTTATTTCCACTTTTTTTACCTATTATTTATTGTGTTGTCGTGTGTCTTTGCCAATTATTGTTACCTCAAGATGTTGTTAACTGCCTTCATAAATAATTAGTAAATATAGAAGTAAGTAAACAATGGTGTCGATTCTGGCGTAATTCTCTAAACTTAAAACTAAATTTAACATCAGTCTCTCTTTTTCATTCTGTATAGAGAATGACAAGGAAACACTGTTGTCAAGTTTAAGTTAAGATTTAGAGAATCGTGCCAGAATCGACACCAGTTTATATTAACGATGGATGAGTTGATTCATGTTTTCGTCAATGATTTAATAAATGACGTGATTGCTGCTGCTGTGCTAAGGCGCCGCCGTTGTGAGAGCAAGAGGGCCCATTTGAAATGAGGGACGCCGACTTCATAAAAAAAATACGTTTAAACAAAAAATTGGTTAGAAATCTTTAAAGTTATGAATGACATTGTTATCGATTCTGACACGGTTCTCTAAACTTAAAACTAAATTTAACATCAGTCTCTCCTTTTCATTCTGTATGGAGAATGACAAGGATACACTGTTGTAAAATTTACGTTTAGGTTTAGAGAATCATGCCAGAATCGACACCATTTTCTTATTGATGATACGGAGTTTTGGCGGGATTTCTGTGAGTTGTGAGAGAGCTGTATTATGGTGGTCCTCAAACCTTATTTCTGTATTATGAAGTAGGCAAACTCCCTTCTACAGCTTCTTTTTTTGGTGTAATTGTACACCCTTTTACAGACGATAGCTGTCTTATTTCTGTCTTTAAGAGTAATAAACAGCAATAAAAATAAATGACGCCTATAGTACAGCCTTAATTTGTATAAGTGACAGAGTCGCCATTTTGAATTATTGTGCATTGTATGCTGTTTTTTGTGATTGTTTTATAAATATGTGGAAAAAGCGAAAAAGATTTGGTGCTATTAGAAGAAAGATTGAACAGGAATATTTAAATATTACAAATTATCAACAAAATGAAATTACTGCCGAGGAATATGGAGATATTGCAACAGATCAGATCACCTACAGTCAAGCGTCAATACTGTCGACATCTAATGAAAGGGGTTCCGTAGAAAATATTGTAAATGATCATAGTTATATCAGGTGTAGATTAGCTTTACCTTCTGCAACTGATGACATTTTATCATGCAGCAGTTCAAGTGACGGCGAAAGTGAATATGAAAAAAAAAATTATTTCGCCAACAAATACAGAATTGAGCCAGAGAAAGAAACATACCTCAAGTAGCATTGAATGATTTAGCTACTATCATATACTTAAGATTTCCAGGAATTTTACCATGCGATGCCAGAACAATTTTAGGTACTGCAAAGCAAATACAAATCAAACCGATTCAAGGAGGTGAATATTGACATAACGGCCTAACTAAATCTTTAGAAAATATATTAAAAAAATGGGTTGACGTTCCGAGTAAAATTTGTTTGAATTTCAATTTTGACGGTCTTCCAATATTTAATAGTTCTAATAAAGAATTTTGACCGATTTTATGTACTATTTTTGAAAGACCTGATGTAGAACCGTTGGTGATTGGTATATATTTTGGTGTTGGAAAACCAAAGCAAATTGACGAATATTTAAATGATTTTGTAAACGAAATTGACAACCTAATTAAAAATGGAATGTACGTTGAACAAATCAAGAGTAAAGTATCTATAGGAATAAGATGTTTTATGTGCGATTCTCCTGCGAGAGCTTACATTAAAGGTAATAGAATTGAAACAGTAAATATAAGTAAATCATTATGCATAAATATAAAAAGATTGCAATTCACTTAAATAATGCTACTACTTTTCTTTCACTTAAGTAATGAACTATGAGAATCACTTTATTTATTTCTTTACAAATTCTAGGACGCAAATCTACAATAATTGCTTTGAAATTTCTAAAAAATAACTTTAATACTTTATTTTCGAAAACGTGATGTGATCTCTCAGTGCATTTTGGTTTTTCACTTAATATTACGTATCCCTAAAGGGCGGGGGTTGTGTTAGGTTTGTATATAGCTCAATGATGGCTAAACCTAACACATCACCTATTTTACCATTCTGTGTCCCGTCTGGTAATCTGGCTAATGGTCTGGGGAGCGAGCGCAGGTCGTGTAGATCCCCCAGACAAGCCTGGCTGTTTTCCTTCACGTGGTTGCCGCCTGTTATTGGTCTGATTCCCTATGAAACAGACGTAACTGAAACAGTCAGACGATTTCCCCCCCCCATCCACCAGGAGTAGGGAGGCGGCCTGGTGGTGCGTCAGCCTCTCCTGCGCTATGACCTGCGCAGCATCGCCGTGAGCAGGGATGAAGGGATCCTGGTGTTTGAGCGGAAAGGGTAGCTGCGGCACCCCGGATGCAACACAGCACTTTGGCCTGGATGTTCGTGGTTTCAACTTCGTGGTGTAGCCGACCACGAGGCAACGGTCAAGGCGTCTACCGTCTTTGGGTCGCCGGCGAGGGGTGTGGGGGTCGCTTTAACACCTAGCGATGGACTCCGGCCATGCTGAAGGAGCAAGGCTGCATGGAACCACTGGTAGTTGGGATCGACTACCAGCCATGTAGCTGCAGTTCCCGATGTCGCGCTGTGAGGAAAACCCTGTGCCCCTATATCCTCACCACAATCCTGGTGCCTTGATTTTTAACATCGGCATCCCAGTTGTGGCTCCGTGGCGGGTGGGACTGGTGAGGATGAAACTTTAATAGACACGTGAAATGGAACCAAACAGATCCCATAATTTAAACGACAAGGACATAACAGCGTCTGGATACCTGGTGAAGGGGAAACCCGGTGACAGGCAGACGAACAAGACAGACAAAGAGTCGGTATACCTGGTGAAGGGGAAACCCGGTGTCAGGCCGACCAATACAGACCTAGAAGTACCATCTACGTCCCGTGCGTTGGAAGCCTTGGTGAAGGGGCAACCCGGTGTCAGGCAACAGCCGCAGGAAGTGGATGGTGACTTGGACTCCTGGCAAGTCGCTACCTACCGACGTAAGAATCGGAAGGCAGTGGACAGGACTGGGGGCCCAAGTGTTGACAAGACAAAAATGACAACCGACCGGCACAGACTCGGGCAGAGGGCTAGGAAGGCCCGTAACAAAACTGCAGCAGCCAAGGCCGCTCAACAGGCTGTTACGAGTCAGGGAACCCAGGACCAAGTACAGACAGACAGACCGACTAATATACAGACGGACAGACAAACAAATAAGGGACAGACGGACAGACAAGAGGCCTCGAAGAGGCCCAGACTGGACGACACCATCTCACCAAGGGGGCAACATAAGAAGCCTACATCCGAGGGGCTGCGTCGTACAGTTGACAAAAAATCATTTGCCGATGCGGCTACAGCTGACTTGCTCGTTGTAATAACGGGCAAAAATACAGGACATATCAGCGCTGCCCATGCTGGGGTTGTCTTAGGGCTCTGGAGGACGCCGTTGTAGAGGAACTCCTTATGGCAGGACCTTCAACGGACGAAGGCCCGAACCTTAAGGGTAAACCCATCATTGGTGGTGGAGCTCTGAGCCTCTGGTGTGAGACGCCCCGCACGCTGGAGTGGGTCAAGAAGACCGTAGCCGGCCTAAAGGTCCCGGGGTATGAAGACGAGTTGATAGTGCAGCACCAAATTGATAGGCCGAAGAGGGTGGTGTGTGGATTACTTGTCCCGGGCACGAGGGAACCACACACGATAGCCAAGCTGCTGCGCTATCAAAATAAACAGGCAGACGTAGACCGATGGCTATTACACAAGGCCATCGCAGGAGACGACAACACGTTCCTGGTGTTCAGCACCACCAGGGACGTCGCAGAGAAACTGCTTGCGAGAGGCAGGAGACTGTGCTACCTGATGGGCTCGGTGTATGTAAGGTTCAGGAACCAGGGTGGTCAATACCTGGACAGCCTGCCGCCTTTAGAGCAACCAACATCTGCTCCGTCGCCGGGCTCATCGGGGGGCATAGCAGCTCCAAAGCCAGACCAGAAGCAGGATACGACAACTCCGGCTCCGGCGGATCCCACTTTGGGTGAGCAAGGAGCAGCGGACATCATAGACGAATGGGCTGACAAGCTGGGTGGAATCGACATCGGGCAAGAGGTGGATGTCGATGTTTTGCTTGCGTCCGATGGCGCCTCCACCGAGTAAAGTCAAGCTCATTCAGACAAACCTCCAGCACAGTCGCACCGCAACGGCTCAACTCAGGAAGTGGCTGGAGGAAAACAATGACGGGGCTATTGCTCTGGTCCAGGAGCCGTGGATCAGATCCAACACCATATGTGGCCTCAACAACACCGGTGGTAAGAATTTTTACAACCCAGGTAACCGCTCACCGCGGACCTGCATAGTATGTTCAAAACACCTACAGGCAAAAATAATGACACAATTTTGTTCTAGCGACATAACAACAATCCAAATTATACAACAGCAAAATCCAAGTGTACCTGTCCTGGTAGTTGCCTCTGCCTACATGCCTGAAGGAGAGGAAGCTCCGTCAGGGGAACTGGCTGAGCTGGTGAGACACTGCGAACAAACAGACAAGGCGCTGATCATCGGCACCGACTCCAACGCCCACCATCAATTGTGGGGTATGAGGAAAAGCAACAAACGAGGTGAGGTATTAGTAGATTATCTATTTACCACTAACCTTAATATAATAAACACAGGATCTGAACCTACTTTCGTAACAAGAAGGGGCAGATCCATCATCGACCTTACACTAGCATCAAGAAGAGCAGCGGATCTGATCTCTGACTGGCACGTTTCCCCAGAGGCATCCTGCTCTGACCATAGGTGGATTAGGTTCAACATCGCGGTACAGCGTGTCACCCAGCCACCATACCATACCTAGCAAAACAAACAGAAGCCAGTATCGCAGACAGGTAACTCGGTCACTGCGACATCTGCAGTGTGGTAGTTTAGACGAAACTTACAAGATAGACGAAACAGCTGAGGAATTAACAAGAGTTATAATCTCAAGCTATCAGACAGCCTGTCCTCTTAGTACACCATCATCCAACTCGGGTGCCAGCCAGTCTTGGTGGGGTCCCGAGCTGGAAAAACTGAGGAAAAAGGTAAGAAGACTTTTTAACAGGGCCATGAATACATGTGACGACCAGGACTGGGATGCGTACAAAGATGCCAAGGCACTTTACAAGAGACGCATCCGACATTGGAGCAATGGGTCTTGGAGAAAATTTTGTTCAGATATAGACTCATGCACAAAGGCAAATAAGGTAAGGAAACTGCTATCTAAAGATAGGCAGCAAGACCTAGCACAGCTCCGGAAGGCTGATGGCTCCCTCACAGAAACAACTGAGGAGGCACAGAGGGTACTACTTGAAACCCACTTTCCGGGCTGCATCATACACACGACACATACTTGGAATGACACTAGCTGGACCCCCACGGAACAATCCTGGAACACTGCATTGAAGACAGTGTCTACAGATAAGTTAAGGTGGGCCATTAACAGCTTCCAGCCATTCAAGGCAGCCGCACCAGATGGCATCTTTCCGGCGCTGCTTCAATGGGCAGGTGAAGCACTAATCCTTATCCTGGTGCCCCTCCTGAGAGCGTGTCTTGCATTTAGATACACCCCGAAGCTCTGGAGGGAGGTCAAGGTAATCTTCATACCAAAACCGGGTAAGGCAGACTACAACGAGGCGAAATCTTTCAGACCAATAAGTCTCTCATCATTTCTGCTAAAGACCCTGGAAAGACTGTGCGACAGAGAGCTGAGAGACAACCAACTAGTCAATGTTCCACTACATCCGAACCAACACGCCTATAGTCCAGGCAAGTCGACAGAATCTGCACTACATGCAGTCGTAAGTAAAATAGAGGATAGTCTCAGACGGAAAGAGCTATGTCTGGGCACCTTTATAGACATAGAAGGCGCGTTTGACAAAACAAGCTTCGCCAGCATAGTAGACGCACTTGGCAAACACGGAGTCGATGAGACCATTATATACTGGGTAAGTAACATGCTCCGTAACAGACTAATCAGACTACAAGACGACAACCATCTCAGAGCATTGGCAACTAAAGGATGCCCTCAAGGAGGAGTACTGTCGCCTCTGCTATGGAATGTAGTTGTAAACGACTTAATTACCAAACTAAACAACCTTCACTTCCACACGGTGGGCTACGCGGACGACCTTGCAATCATAATTCCAGGTAAGTTTGCGAGCACCGCCTGTGATGTTATGCGAGGGGCAATGAGGGTTGTTGAAAAATGGTGTGACGACTACGGCCTTAAGGTGAACCCAGTGAAGACGGAATTGGTCATGTTCACGAATAAAAGATCATTAGGCGACTATCGGCTACCGAAACTATTTAACACGACACTGAGGCTCTCCAACGAGGTAAAGTATCTAGGAATAACCCTAGACTCCAAACTGAACTGGGGATCCCACATAGACAAAACTACAACGAAGACTAACATCATTTTCTGGCAATGTCGCAAAATGATTAGCAAAACTTGGGGACTATCACCGCTCATTGTTAAGTGGCTATACACGACCATAATTAGGCCTATCATCAGCTATGCAGCAGTAGTATGGTGGACCAAGACAATCAAGGTAACGACAATTAATAAGTTAAGACGTCTCCAGAGGCGGGCATGCTGTGCAATCACCGGCTGCATGAAAACCACTCCCACATCAGCACTGGAGACAATACTTAACGTGAGACCACTCCACTTGTTTATACAACAGGAAGCTGCATGTACAGCCACGCGCCTAAGCATGCTGGGGCATTGGAGAGACAGCAACTCCCCGCACACCAGCATCTTAGCAGACATACACAGGCACTTTCCGTACTTTGCAGCAGTAAACGACCTTATTCCTAAGACGTACGTATTTGACAAAAAATACAAAATTCAACTTTATGAGGACACCCCGGACCGTTGTCTGCATAAGGAGTTGAGGGTCTACACAGACGGTTCAAAAACCAACTGTGGTACGGGCTCGGGTGTCTTCTCCGAAGACCTGAATATACACATCTCGACAGCTTTGGGTGCCTATAACACGGTCTTCCAGGCAGAGTGTGTGGGCATCATCAGAGCTGCTGAGGCGATAGAATGTCGCGGGGTAAGAGGAAAACATATTCGTATTCTCTCTGACAGCGCTTCTGTCCTACAGGCACTGGACAACAATATAATGACATCAGGCTTAATTTACGAATGCCACAGTAAGTTGACTAATATTGCTAACGACAATAGATTGACCCTACAGTGGATTAAAGGACACAGCGGCTCAAGGGGTAACGATGCGGCGGACTGCTTAGCCAGGGAGGGGTCTAGCAGGACGGCCATTGGTCCGGAGCCAATTATACCCATACCCTATCGGCAGCTGCGAACCTGGATAAGGGAGCGCTCTCAACGACAACACGATGATTACTGGTCAAAACTGACGGACTGCAGGCAAGCCAGGGAAGCCGTTCCTAAGGTAAACCTGCAGCTAACACGTAAGTTAATCAGACTACCTAGACAAGCCCTGAAACAAATCGTGGGTATACTCACGGGTCACGGCTACTTTAACAAACACCTTTGTAATATAGGTATTTCTGACAGCCCTCTGTGCAGAGCCTGCCTGGAGGCGGATGAGACGAGCGCCCATGTCCTACTGGAGTGCAGGGGCGTTGCAAGACAAAGAACTTCTCTAATGGGAAGCCCGAAGACAATAGTAGAGGCCTGCAGCAACATTCGGGGACTGCTGAGCTTTCTGGAGGAGCTGGGATGGCAGGACTGATGCCAATCCCCACGCAAAATAGGCACTAGGTGTCGAGTTGCGGAAACAGCCCGCCGTACTACTAAGACTAAGACTAAGACGTATCCCTAGAAAGAGTTACAGGTTATGTTCGAAACACTGCTATGCAACATTAATAGTAAATTTATTCGTTTATACAGCCCACATCGCTAAAAGCTGAATACAAGTATCCATTACCTACATAGTACAGCTACTAATGCTATAATACCATCAAAATAGAATTTAGGCTGCTTAGTAAATTGTCGCCATTTGATCAATTACAAATCGAAGATTACGAACATGAGTACATAAAAATTAGACTAATGTTTTTATGTTTATCAATGTTTTCAGTTTGTCCAATAACCTACTATGCATCAATGAGGCTCTACGTCAATTAATTCAAACATTTTAAATTCTAACCTATAAAAACCATATTTAATAACCTTATTTAATATCTCTTCCTTGGTTATTTTGCTGGCGTGTTTATTTTTTATCACAAAACATATATATGTCCACAATAAATTTATTTTTACACGATAATGCACTGTATCCTTCCCCCTATCGAATCTCCAAATCTTTAAACACAAAGCGTTTATAATAAATGTCACTTTGATCAATAGTGATTATAAACGCCATCATTAAAATATATCTTCTGTTTCGTTTTAATTCTTTTGTAACTCTGTTCAACAGACTTTTTACAACGTAAAGCTTAACAAGTGAGTTACAATGTAGTAATTGGAGTGTATTGGTTTCCTCGAACACCATAGTACAGCCGCAAAACAGCTATTATGCAGCCTATTTTATGCTTATACAGCTACTGTACAGCTAATATAATGCAAAACGCTGTATAATTTGTGCCAATTTCAGGGGTATAAGGGCTGTATAAGCGCTTATACAGCCTTTATGCGGCCAAGAGATACAGCATTAAGAGTATAAACGAACTTTAATAGAGCTGTTATATAGCTTGTGATGCTGCTTGGGTATAATATCATTGGAATATCGAAAATCCACGAGAATAGCATTTTTTACCATCAGTAGATATTTTCAATAGATATCGCTACTTTCGATATTATCTCGAAGCCGATATAATATCTACGCCGCGAGAATTGGGCCCCAGTAAGTACATACCTATATTTACAATAAAAGTCTAAACAATAAAAAAAACGAGTGAGCCTTACAGTAGTCGCGTATGATGTGAAACTTTTGAAACCTCACCTTATATTTGTAAAAAAAAACCTACTACAAAAGGAATAAGCCATTTGAACATTAAGTTCTAAAATCAAATCAAATAGCGCGCGCTTCCCAAACTTCCTGTTACACACTTCGGTCCCACTTCAAGTAATCACTCCCATAAATTGCAAGAAAGCGAGAGGAAAGATAATATAGATAAAGACATCAAAAAATTTAAATTAGGTACCTCGCATCGTTGCCGTGGATGGTTGTGGCTGCTGCGCTTGCGACTCCTCCGCGGACCGGTGGCGGGCTGGGGGGGCTCGCCGCGGGGATAACGCCAGACCCGCCACACTATCCGCCATGCCCGCCACATATTGCCCAAGCGACGTTAGAAAACTCATTGTCAATATAACAAACCGCACATCTACACTAACACACCAACACTGAACATTTTCTCACATCTTATAATTCACTAATTCACTAGTTACTTCCCCATCGGATGCTCTGCAACAAAGGAAACCATAATGAATTGAATGCACTCAGCAAGTATTTTATCAGTACTGAGTAGTCTACCGCGACGTAGAACACTGGGTGAGGTTCCTAAGTTTCAATTAACTTTGGCGAAGTATGAAAACAAAGTTAGCAACATTCTTTGAAACTCCGCTCTGGTTTGCCTGGGAAGGTTTATTTAAAAATCAGTGCCCCGAGTAATTAAAATGTAAATTTATTCTAGAAACAAATAAGCTTTAGTACTACCTAATTACATTTTAAAAATTGCAAGACAATATATTAATGTATATGCATCACCATGCTTGATTGAATGTTTACCCTTATAATACAAAATTACAATTTGATTCATACTCAAGGATGTACACATTAAAAAAAAAATGAACCAGTCAGTCATTCTGACTCACCCCTTGACTGACCCTAATAATTCTTCCAAGTCGCAGTTATAAACCTTTTAATATGATTGTTGCAAAATTTGTTTGTACTTAAATATTTCTTCGTTAGAAGTTTGCACAAGGAGCTGGAAGTAAAATTTTGGGAATATTTCACATATAAATGGGAATTAAAACGACTTTTTAACATAAAAACTTTCGTTTTAAAACTCTTTGTAAGCAGTAACTTTAGTCATTATCGTCAGTATTCAGTATAAAAATACCATACCTACACAATAATTAATATGTTGCAAATTTTTCAGCATTCGTGTTTCACATCTAAAATGAGTACTTTTCAACAGACTTCAAAAAGGAGGAGGTTCTGTGTTCGACTGTATATTTTTTTTATGTTTGTTCACCGATGTCTCCGTCAATTGTGGACCGATTTCCAAAATTCTTTTTTTATTCGAAAGAGTGCTCTTCCGAGTTGGTCTCATTGGAACCAATTCAGAATCTGATGGTGGAATCTGGGGAAATTGAGGGAAACCTTCTTTTAAGATTTATTATTACGTGGACGATGTAATTTTCACGATACTTTGTTTATATGTACACCGATTACTTAAAGATTTCTGGTCCATTTTGATTGATTCTTCTTTTGTTCAATTGGAGATACTTGCCGTTTGGTTCCATAAAAAATATTTTCTTTGATCCAGTAGTTTTTATTTAATGAGCATTTTTGTTTATTGTTTACTTGGACGACGTAATTTTCACTAAAAGGATGAAATAAAAAAATTTTAAACAAAAAATAAAACCGACTTCAAAATCGAAAATGGAACTAAAGAGTAAAAATTTATATCTGGTTCATTATTTGGAAATCGGGCGGGGTCAAGATTGAAACATTAAATAGATTTTCGTTTCTGATGGGTAATAATACGTCTTTCAATCTTGACCCGCCCGACTTCCAAATCAAGAACCAGATATTATTTTTTACTTTTTAGTTCCATTTTCGATTTTGAAGTCGGTTAAATTTTTTGTTAATTTTTTTAGATAATTATAATGTTTTGTTAAAAATGTTACATATATTTTATGATACTTCTTCTTCTTTAATTATAATTATATGCAGGTCCTATGATGTGTACCTACGAAGTTCCTTTTCATATGGTCCTGACTTGACGAATGGGGGCTAGCGGAGCAACTTACTATCCAACCGAGCGCCCCACGACACTTTTTTAACAAACAATTTCAATTAAAATAGGCAAATGAATGTCATACTAAATAGTAATGATGATGTGGCATATTAATCAAATAATATTTAGAGCGTCAGTTAGATTATATAAAAATAATGGACTTTTATTTTTCTTTTGTTAATCATCAAAAAATACAAAGATAAAGATGTCAGTGAACTTAGCACATCATTACACAGTACATAAAAATTAAATGCAGCAGAGTTCTATACATAGTTCCTGATACTTTTAGAAACAGTTCGGGCGTTTTTTTCGCGAAAAATGTCAATTAAAAATGGTCTGCTAACTTTTGGTAGAGAAACCATATAGTTTTTAGCCTCCTCATAGTAATTGGCATAGTAAATGGAAATGACGTGACTTAGAGTGACATAAAACTAGGGCCAATAACTAAAATTAAATGATCAATAATTAACCCGTTTCCCCTATATCATTTAGCAGCAAATCAAAAACAAATGCAGTTATTTTTTATTTATTTATCTGAGTTCTATAGTTCCTGATACTTTTTAGAAATAGTTTTGGCATTTTTACCTTAAAAATGTCAATTAACAAAATGGTCAGATAACTTCCCACATCAGCTCAGTTAGCAGCAGATCGAAAACAAATGTGAGTTCTTCTCGCATGCAGCTGAGTTCTTTAGTAGATTTAGTGTTTTTATTGTTTTTGCTATTGGTTAATGCAGGCAGAATTGTAAAATTCTATACAGAGAATGTACTACGTAGGTAAATTAATGTCACGGGCATAGGTTAGATTAGTGAGATTGGGTCCGGAAATGTCTTTTGCCATAGCGTGTGGGGAGAGTGTTACGGGAAGTTAGCAGACCATTTCGTCAATTAACATTCTTCGCGTAAAAACGCCAGGGACTATTTCTAAAATGTATCAGGAACTATAGAACTCACATTAATGATATATGATACAGGGTAAATATAAATCTCATACACTGATATAAGATTTGATCAATGTTGACTATTCGTGTCATGTACACACACCAGAAATATTACCAGAAAGTAAATAAATCTCCCATCCACAAAGGATTTTTTTTTTATTTGGCTCACAAAACTGGTTACGAAGAATATCCATGTAAATATATGCATACAAAAAAATCATCAACCACTTTGCAACCTACTAGATGCAAGCACAACATGCATTTCTAAAACTACCTAACTACTAAGGATATATACTAAAGGATAAATATAGCACATATAGGTTAAACTCAATAACTAAAAAATTAAAGTGAAAGTTAAAACTAAAAACTACTAAAACTTAATCAGAAAATATTAAATTTAAACATTTTCTGGTTGAGGTTTTAGAACCTTTAAATATGTTGAAATCATTTCGAATAGCATTATAGGTTCACAACATTCTATAAAGAGGAGAGTGATTCCCGAGTCTTGTCTTACAGGGGGGCAGTATAAAAGTCTTTCGGTTTTGCAGCCGGCTATTAATTCTAGGAACTGAAAATTTTATATGCTCTAAAATATCTGGTGAGTCGATGTGACCATGGATTAATTTAAATAAAAACATTATATCCGTAACCTTCCTACGCTTGTGTAGGAGGGCTAACCCATAATGTGTTGTGCGAGTCTGATAAGAGCGAAGTTTCTTACAAATGCCACCTGAAAAAGCTAGGTGGTATAAAAATCTTTTCTGGACAAGTTCAACTCGGTTAGAATGTATCTGGTACCCCGGATTCCAAACAGGACTAGCGTAATCCAAAATACTGTTGCAAATAAGAATGGTGAGTTGGGGTTCCTTCAGAATTTTCATTTGACGAGTAATAAAACCAGTTAGTTTGGATGATTTTTTAACAACTGAGTCTATATGAAACCTGAACCTAAGTGAACTGTCCATAATAACTCCTAGATCTCTTATTTGAGTAACCTCTTTAATGAGATTGACTAAGTAAGTACAGCTTCATTATGCCATCACAAAGTGAACGAGCTTTATATTTACCTCGTATCATGTAGAAGACTGCTAAATCTCAAACGTTAGATTTCACCGACTTTTGGCAACCATACGCGTCGCGGGCGCGCCCGCGTCAACACAGGACTGCACTACGCCGTTGCACGGATCCATACGCTCATGCAAGTACTCCGGACATAAACCTGAAGTTTCTGCTCCCGCGAGACTGCCTGGCGCCACACTGTGCCAGCGAAGACTGCCCCGCACCAAGCCGCAGGCCAGAGCGCGTCGCAAGGCGCAGCTCGGCCAGGATCGCGCAGGCGTAGCCCCCCGATCTCCCAAGATGGAAGAAGATCCACCGCCACCGACGTACCCCGATCCGGCATACAGTGCCGAATAAGCCCAGGCCGTGGCCGAATACATCGCCCTAATGATCGGTACAAAATCTCCACGCCTCCAATATGAATTGGACGCGGCGATGGCGTACCGACTCATCGATTCCGGACTGATATCCGGCAGGATGATGGATTGATTGTGGGCTTCATCCGCATATTGGAATTTGATCCAGCCACAACAACCGGCCACTGAATCGAGACAGACCGGATAAACCTCGAGTCGTTGAAGACGGTTAACTTGATGCCACTCACGCTCTCGCCGCCCAACAAAATATTCATGAAGCCCATCACGTCGACGCTAACACCGAACATGGAAGAGAGACGCCCACGCGCCTTGCGATTGCGCCGGTCACGCAGCTGCGGCGACTCCCCCGTATACCCACAATCGAAGATACCAATCCCGACGCCAACCGCCAAGCCGCCTCAGCAAGAAGCCGCCCCCGCCACCCAGAAAAAACAGCCGACTGCTGTACCGACACAGAAGTCGGCAACTTACGCGCAGAAAATCAAAATTTCCGCGCCTACCTCCGAAGCCACCTCACAGATTGCGCAACCGACCTCCAGCAGCGCTCCCACACCCCAGCGGGTCCGTAAACAGCCGCCGATCGTGGTCGAGCAACTGCAGGACTGGCCGAAGCATCTGCGCGCTATTCAACAAGAACTAGGACGACCACCCAGCGTACGCCCGTTTGGCACGGGCGTGCGCTTCATGCCGCAGGACGACAACGAGGTCCGACTCGTCCAGGCCTACCTTTCCGGACTGGAAGGTCAGGCCGGACTTAGTTGGTACTCGCATGCCCACCCCGAAGACAGAAATCTCAAGGTGGCCATCAGAGGACTGCCTGCAAACACCCAGCCGCAAGATATTGCTGAGGCGCAAAGGGCTTCACAACTGACCATTGAAGGAGATCCGGGCGCGAGCAGGCCGCACCGGATATATATACTTCGCTTCGATACGCCGAACGCCAGAGACCATCCCGCCATCTATGCCGTAAGCAAACTTCTATTCATGACAGGAGTACAGATCGAGGCCTGGAGAGGAAGGAAGACCCCCGCGCAGTGTCACCGCTGCCAGGGGTTCCGCCACT